TTTTAGGCACCTTCTTGCTTCGACTTCTCAAAGAATTTAAAGGCAACGACCCTAAGAACTTAGCCTATCTTTTATTCCTTGTGAGAAGCTTCAATAGTGAGATACTCACCTCCTTCTCCTTCGACCTTGGACTGTCTTACAAGGATGTGAAGTTGTTTTCCAAAGATTAAAGTTGCAAGTGATTTCTAGTGTGGTGGAGGTTACACAAGGTAACATATAGATGTTTGAATGGTTGGAAATTTATAGTGGATTAGATTTTATATGTCAAGGGTTGGTTGTAAAAAAATTAATATGGTGATTCTTTAAGGAGTGTTATGTGTGGTGAACAAAAGAAATAGTAAGAAAAATCTATGGAATCCTAGTATAGGCCAATTCGGCCAAGAGGAGAAAATTATATAAACAGTATGCTAATAAAATTCTAGGTGGAAGTGGATGTTGGTTTCTATAAGTTAAGATGATGTTTTGACGTTTTTTCGTATTCCGACAGAATTGCCGTGTATTGACAATTCGTACATAGTTGTTGTAGGTTGTCGTACGGTGATTTGAACCCCGAACCTTGAGCTCGGTGGATTGCCCTTGGTCCTGGATTAAGTGGGATTGAGGCATTTCTGTTGTATAACGAGCTCGAGAAATATATTACGTTGGAGCTACGTGGAGAGGATTATTCAGGTAACCTCTTGGTACTGGGACTTGTTCCCCTTGTGTGTTCCACCATGCCGTTGAGGGTGATGGTAGGAAAATGTATATGAATAATGTAGAATAACATGATCATGCATTTAGTATGTATGCTGGTACGTAGGTACCGAGTCTCTGGCCAGTAGACAGTTTTGCCTTCGGGTGTTTCGGACTTCCACTGGATAGGTCTCCGAGAGGGAGTTCCAGTTGACCTAGGGTCGTGGTGTGTGATCCGGATAGGAGGAGCACACTAGGAAGTCTCGGGTGTATGCGGATGGGAGGGGTACCTTGGTTGATGTTCTAGGAACACGCCTTGGATGAGACCCATAGGCTTATATGCCGAGGATGTTGCGTGGTATTGGTAGCTACCATTCCAGCTTCGTCGTATTTTGTATCCTATGATCCCCGTTTTCTCTAAATCCCTTGTTGTATCCTGTTTTAAAGAAGTTATTTTATATTATTTATATGCATCGAAGTGAGCCATTGAGCGGAGTATTCTCCAGAACCTTTGGGTTACTAAGATATATTCGTATATCTCACCCCGTCTTGAGAGATTTATTTCAAGAGGTAGCAGTGGTGCAGGAGCCCGCATGATGATTAGCTAGAGTATTTGCAGTATCTTGCATTTTGGTGGCCACTGGGCCTAAGCTAGACTTAGGGCATGAACATTCCATATGTATGTAGGATGAGATTCATTGTTATATTTGTTCATGTCATTTTGCCTAAGTCTAGTACATATATCATTTAAGGTTTTTACATTATGTTGTATTTGAAGACTTTGAGTTGTAAAGTGTAATATGCATGTGGAGACAGTAAACTGTACCTGAATACTTGATGTAATATGTAAGCATGTAATATGATGGAAGGGAAATAGGCCTATTTTAGGAATATGATTATGTGTATGTTTAGAAGATGCATGCAATTGGACTTTGATGATTGAAACGTATTAAATATTAATCGAGAAAGAAATGTGATATGTATTATATATGTAAAATAAATTGTGATGGGTTGTAAGTGCCCCAAGGCATTGTTGGTTCTTGTGTATGCCACCCACTGATTTTTAGGTACCATTTGAGGTCATAGATCACTTGTATAAATTTGGGAAACGTTGGAAAAACAAAGGAAACTCTGGCGAAATTTCTAGGAATTGGCAGTTTTTAGGTGAACTTTGAGAGATCATATCTCTCTCCATAGAGGTCTGATAGGGACGTGTCATACACCATTTTAAAGCTTAAGATGTCCCCCACATTGTGTTGAAATCTGAGAGTTTCCTGGGTTTCACGCAACCCTGTAGAAGACTGTGAACACAGACTGTCCAGAATGCTCCTGTGTAGGGGCTGTTTCTCGCAGTTTTTGGGAATTTTATTCCCGCTTCTTTTCTTAGTCAAATTAAGTGTATGATATATCAAATTGAAGCTTGAGGTGTCTAGTTTATGGTATAAATATTTGAGAGAATTTGAGTGAGTGGTTTCTCTGCAGTAATTAATTTAGTGAGGGATGTTTGAAGCTGTTTTGGGGTTGGCTGACAGCTTTGCTCGTCCAACTTCAAACGGCGATAACGGGGGAAAACGAGCTCGAAATAAAGCGTGTGATAGCTTCTTAGAAAGATAATTAAGTAAGAAAAAAATATAACTAGAGATAAAGGTCTGGTTTGGTACGGTGTGTATGCAGAAAAATAATTAGTGAACCACGTTCGGATAGGTAAAAACGTAAGATTGACAAATTGGCTTAGTGGGTTTATGGGAACCCCTTAGTGACTTCTAATAAGTAAATTAAGATATAAAAATAGTATAAATAAGTATTCTGCAAGAGTTTACAGTTATGGTCACAACTTTTATTTATTACGCTTTTCACTGTTTTAAAAAAAAATGCTCGCGTAATAAACGGAAAAAGTTTACTCCCATTTTTATAAAGGAATAGCTGTGATTGTAACTGCGCTTAATATCATAATTATTGTTAACAATATTGGTGTACAACGGGCTGTTACAACTTCAATTGAGTTCAGCTAAGAACTAAAAGAGGAATTCAAAAGAGGGAAAAAGGACAAGAGTGTGTGAGCTTATAAGAGGAAATAAGCCTAATTTTGAAACACGAGTGTAAGAGCTATTGATTAGGAGAGAAACACATGAGGGTATGTTTGTGAGGATATTTCAACTTTTGTTTTTGCATATTAAAAAAAAATGTCTCAAGTGGGTGATGCTAAAATTCTTAAAGATTTCAAATTTTATTTTGGAGCCATGACACAGAGATTTGAAAGATTGAACTTCAGGTTTGATGAAATGCAAGATAGAATAGAAAGAGTTGAACAAAGGGAGCCACAACTGAGAACTTCAGAACATCAAAATGAAGATGACACCAATTCCACAGTTGATACGAGGCAGAATGAATGTCGCAATGAAGGAAGAAGAGTGCGTAATGAAGAAAGGGTTGACAATAACCTAGGAAGTATGAAGATGAAGATTCCATCTTTTCAAGGCAGAAATGATCCAGAAGCTTACTTGGAGTGGGAAAGAAAGATGGAGTTGATGTTTCATTGTCATAACTACTCTGATTTGAAAAAGGTAAAATTGGCTGCCATAGAATTTTTTGATTATGCTATTGTTTGGTGGGATCAATTTGTGTCAAACAAAAGAAGACATGGTGAAAGACCTATTGAAACATGGGAGGAAATGAAAGTTGTCATGAGAAGGCGATTTATTCCAAGTCACTACCATAGGGACTTGTTTCAGAAATTACAAAGTCTCACACAAGGTTCTAAAAGTGTTGAAGACTATTTCGAGGAGATGGAGACAGCTATGATTCGAGCCAATGTAGATGAAGATCGTGAAGCTACTATGGCCAGATTTTTGCTTGGCTTATATCGGGACATTGCAAATGTGGTAGAATTACATTATGTGGAGTTAGATGACATGGTGCACATGGCCATAAAGGAGGAGAGGCAACTCAAAAGCAAGGGTACCATGCATATGGGGCAGAATTCAACTTCATCTTCAAGACCAACATGGAATAAAAATAAAGAGAAGCCTCATTTCAAATCTCCAGTTGGTTCCTCTAAAACCAACCAAGTTGTAAACACTTCCAACCAAGGTAAAAATCAATCTCAATCCTCTAGAAATAGAGACATAGAATGTTTTAAGTGTTTGGGAATGGGTCATATTGCTTCTCAATGTCCAAATAACAAAGTTATGATTTTGAAAGATAATGGTGATATTAAAAGTGAGGGTGAATCTGATAATGAATCCATGCCTTCTTTAGAAGATGCAAGTGATATTAAATTACCTGTTGAAAGAGAGCTTTTAGTGGCTAGAAGAGCTCTTAATGTGCAAGTTAAAGAAGATAAGGAGTTGCAGCGAGAAAATATTTTTCATACTAGATGCAATGTAAAGGACAAGGTGTGTTCCATGATTATTGATGGAGGAAGTTGTACAAATGTTGCAAGTACTAGTTCGGTGGAGATGTTAAATTTAGCAACTCTGAAGCATCCTAGACCATATAAACTATAATGGTTGAATGATTGTGGAGAAATCAAGGTTCTTTATTTCTTGTTTAAAATTCCTGATTGTAGAAATGATCCTAACTAAATTGGTCTTGGGTCTCATTATTATTGGTGAGGTTCATATCATAAATGACCTATATAAATGCAACTATACTATTATTTAACATACAATCACACAATTATAAAACCAAAGTCCTACCGGACCATGGTTGAACAACATAGGTGTGACACCCTCCCCTGTATGCATCCAAGGAAAGTGTCTGCTAAAACCGATTAGAGTCACAACGTTATCATATAAAATTCTTATTCTGGAAGAAACCTTTTGATGATACCAATTCAAACTTTCGCCTGGAAAACTGACTTCGTAAAATAGAATCAGCAAGTAATTTTAAAAAAAGAAAACTTTCGCTGCGCAACTCTGAATTTTCTTGAAAACAGTGTGCAACTTTATAAAATAACATAGCTTACTGAAATAATAATTTTCCTGAAAACCTGTCTGGCTGCAAAAATCATAATAAATCGAGCTTTCATAATTTCATTGTAAAGTCTACATAATCTGAAACTAGACATGTGGGGCTTCAGGTACATATAAATTATGGCCCATTCGGAGTCCCGTAGCTCCCGGAACAGAACTCGCAAGGTGAGAGATAAATCAGTGAAAATATTTCCAAAACTGCCTGACTTGCAAAAATCATAAAATTCCGTGCTTATATGCTGTGGACACAAACTTTATATAATATGAAACTAGACATCTGGGGCTTTAAGTGCATATAAATTATACTCCGATCGGAGGTCTGTAGCCCCAGAAACAGAACTCGCAAAGTGCTCGAAAACTTAATCTCAAAATCCGAATTTAAACAGCAGAAATTGTTTGTCAAAATAAGATAACAGAATTACATAAGTCTTAGCAAATACAATAATCAAGCTACTGTGTGTTCCCAAAATAAAATACTACATTCACTTGGTCAATCCCCAAAATAGTACATAACGTCAAGATTCAGCACACAGCCAAATAAACAATGGCAAACAACATGATTTTAAAACAGCAGCACTCAACAGCAGATATCCAAAATACTACTTCATCAAATGCTTTTACGTCCTCCTGCAATTTTATAAAAATTGAGCCCCCGAAGGGGTGAGAAAAATCACTGTAGTGTGGCAGAAAATCCAGCAATGCAACAATGTTAATTTAAATACCGAATTTCCAAAATTGTCACATCATCAAATAGTTCCAGAACATATTCCATCACATAATCCAAGTGCGTATATAACGCCGATATATTTATCAAGGTGCGTATATAACGCCAAAATACTAATCAAAGTACGTATATAACGCCAAAATACTAATCAAAGTGCGTATATAACACCAAAGTAATGTACGTTCATAGCACTGCAGTGCACGTACTACTAACTAACACAGTGGAGATTCCATAGGGCTCCCAAAGGTGAATTCCACTGGACCTATGCGAACTGAAGCCAAGTGTCCCATACCCTGGTACCAGAGGGATGCCTATATGATGCGTGCTCAAACGTATGCTTACTTTTATTATATACTTCGGTTTCCAAGATGAATGCATAATGTTGTATGCCATGACATGATTCGCACACACAAACAGAACAGATGAATTATGATGTGCGTATACATGGCTAGATCATAATCATAATACATATATTTCTTATATTTTTAATACCAAGCTGCCGAGTAATCAATACTTCCCAAAACAGAATTCCAACAGTTCTTATTCCAAATCGAATTATAATTGCCTTCCAACAGAATCAAAACAGAGCACGAGAGCAATAAATCAAAAATTCAAGTATTAAACTAACAGTCACATAGGGGTAATCCACCGAACACTTACCTCGAGTCTTTAACCCTTTTTAATCAAAACATCAACAATCAGACCACTCTTTTAGAGGTTAGCACACCTGAGCAATAGGTACCAAAAATCAGAATTCACATCTATTGTTCCAATAAAATACATGTACTCTCCATGCTTCCCATTCTAGGTGTCTAGTCGATTTACCAGATTTCCATTACTAACTTAATCACCAACTAAGTTGTTTTAATCTTTTTCTGACTTAATGTACGTTCATAGCACTGCAGTGCACCAACTAAGACATGCCACACGGTTTTGGCATCAACCAGATTCCACAAGTTTGTCATTTACATGCTGCCTACAAGGGTTACAACACACACAAGGCACGGTTCAAATCTGATTTCATGCTTCTTCTACCAAAAATTAGCAAATGGCATAACCATAATTTTCCATGCATGTGGGTTCGGTTATCAATCATTACTAGGTGCTTAGCATATTTATTTTATCACTTCTACACATTATATAGCGTTTTCCACTCTTCTTAGTACTGGATTTATAATCAAATTTCAAAGCTCAAAACTAGTAAATTTTCAGACTTAAGGGTGCATTGCCAATGGGTATCAAGTGACAACATCCATGGTTTTCTATGCAAACAGATTCAGTCTTTTAAAATCGTTAACTAGGTGCTTCCTTTTTCGCTTGACATACATCACCCATACGATTTAAGAGTGGGGTATTTATGTTTTAACATGTCCTTTAAGGTATTAACACATACAAGGTTTGACAACTATATAAGTCCAAAGAAACAGTCACGAATCCATATAGAGCTATCTTCCAAGCTCACAAAATTACATGTAACGATTTGCATGCACCACAACCATGACTACACGGCTGAACCAAAACAATGAAGACATAATGACAAAATTACATCTTTCTTGGATGCATGTACTGGCTGAATAGCAAAGAATAAGGAAAGATCTTGAGATTTCACTTACATTTTCTTGCATCGACCCCCAAGACCACAAATCGATCAAGAAGCAGCCCATCCTCCTTCCTATGCTCCATAACTCGAGTTTAAGACAGCATGCAAAAGGGGAAGGAGCTAGATTAAGGCCGAAACATGTGCATGCAATGAAAAGAGAACTCAATCAGAACCGACCCAAGATGTGTTGAACAAAGAAAAGAAGCAAATACCTCATTCCTTGAAGGAGGGCCTTTGGCTGAACAAAGGGAAGAAGAGAGTGGATGTAGGCTTGCGTTCCACTCTGCAAGCAAGTGAGTATCCTCATCAAATCAGAGGGAATGAAGGAGGGACATGAAACTAGAAAAATCCTACACCTCTTGCTCAATGATAATCAGCCGAACCATGAAAGGAAAAAATGAAAAATTGGATGGTCGTTGTCTTCTTATGTAGCTCACGATTTGTGAGGAATAGGGAGGAGGAAAATTAACATGCAAGCTTTGGGTTCTTCTCTAGCTGGTCTACGGTCTTGAGAGGGGGAGAGAGTGGTTAGTGTTTCATTCTGAATTGGAAGGGAGTATTCAGTCTTGTGTTGAGGATGACGTTGCGCATGGAGTGAAGGAGAATAGGATGATAGTCTAGTTTGATTCAAAAGAATTAAAGAGAAGGGATCATTTTGTTCCTCTTTCAATTTGTGCATGGAGTAATTGAGTTTGGCCAAAAATTCTGATCCAAAGGTACAAGAAAGAAAATAATAGTCAGATAGCTTTTGCCCTTATTGGGCGCTAGAGTGGTGAGGGCTTCCATTGACCAATAGGACCACATGCAAGGAGATTGCTTTCATCTTATTGGCTGCATGGGGCAACAAGGCTGATTGCTTTGGATACTAATACAAGTAATTAAAATTTTCCTTTTCTTTTCTCCTACACCTAGCGCATACAAGGGAATATAAGGATAGACATGTGGCTGATGCTTGGCCAATCACAACTAACAAGTGGATTTTGTTTAGGATGAGCTAAAGGGTCATGTGTAGGGATTTCTTGGGCTAACTTACACCCCCATAAGCTGCTGGGGTCATCGCCCTTAATGGTCCATGGGTTCAAGAATTTTAGTCTCCTAATAAGTCACCTATCATGGTTAATATTCCACTAATTGTTATTTCATGTACCCTCTACATATTAACTAAGGCTTTTGTACGTTGTACTCAAATTAATCACACACTTTTGATTAAGATTCAAGTTCAGAAAATATACATAGTTATTCCTAATACATGCAGAAAATAATTTCCTTAAACTCCATTGGAGTTGAATTCAAGATGTGCTTCCATGTTCTTAACTGAAATTTATATGCTTCCTAAATTCGTGGGATGTTACAATAGGTAAGAAAACCTCTAAACCGGGAGCTTACCTGACAAAAGCTTTCCTTGAAAAGCTAACTTGAATACCTATTGTAACAGCCCATTGTACACTGGTATTATTAACATTAATTATGATATTAAGCGCAGTTACATTCACAACAATTCATATATAAAAATGCGAGTAAACTTTTTCAGTTTTATTATGCGAGCTTTTAAAACAATAATAACGCGTAATAAATAAAAGTTGTGACCGTAACTGTAAAATTTTTGCGGAATAATTATTTAAACTACATTTATATCATATATTACATACATCTCTCAAGTCACTAAGGGGCTCCCATAAACACACTTAGCTAAAATTTCACTTTTACGTTTTCTACCTATCCGAACATGGTTCGGTCTTTGAATTTATGCGGAAAAACCGCATTCTACAAGCCTCTCATCCTTTAGTATGTTATTCTAGACTTAATTAACTTTCTAGGAAGCTATCACACGAGTCATAAAGTTCCTGTTTGCTCCGGATATCGCCGTTTGAAGTTGGACAAGCAAATCTGCCAGCCAACCTCAAATCGGCTCCAAACAGCCTTCACTCAATCAATTATTCTGGAAAATAAACTCAACCAATTGCTCTTAAATTTTTATACAGTAAACTAGACACTTCAAGCTTCAATTTGACATATTATACACCTAATTTGACCAAGAAACGAAGCGGGAATAAATTTCCCAAACTCGCTCCAGATCAGCACAAGTGCAGTGGCCAATTGAGAAGTCCGTTCTCTCTTCCTTCTAAAGGCCTACTTCGAACCCAGAATTTTCTCAAATTTTAACACAAGATAGAGGACATCTCAAGCTTTAAAACGGCGTATGGCACGTCCCTATCAGACTTCTTTGGAGGGAGATATACTCTCCTAAAGTTCGCCTAAATTCTGCCAATTTCTAGAAAATTCGCCAGAATTTCCTTTGTTTTTCCAATAAATCCCAAATTTGCAAATGTGTTCTCTAACCTCAATTTGTACCTAATAATCATGGGTGGCACACAAAGACCAGTAATACCTTGGTGCTCTTATAACCCTTCACAGATTATATTCAATTGCTCAAAATACATAATCAATGCTTACTTTTTCAAGTTAACGTATTTCAAGCACAAAGTCCAATTGCATTCATTCTTTGAATCATAAATCATCATTCACATTCTAGAATAGGCCTATTGCCCTTTCTTCATATTACATACTTCCATGTTACACAAGATCCAGATATTACAATTACAATTCTCCAATGTAAATCATAAGACCATAAATTCTCCAAATACAACATAATGAAATAAGCCTCAAAGTGAAACATAATAAATATGCAACTAGACTTAGGCAAAAGATGGCAGGAACAAATATGACAATATACATCATCCTAAATCTATATACAATGTGTTAGTATATAGGTGTCCTAGAGACAATCTGTTTTATCAGATGAACACCTTTTTCTATTTGGTATATCATGATTAATAAATTTGAGCAAACTTTATCTTTATCATATTTATGTCTCGCCAATATTTTATTGTTAATATGCGTTTAAAGATAAAGACCCTAGGAATAGAGCAGGTGTTCACTCGGGGATCTATGATAGGGATTGTAAGAACCCGCACCGTTAATTAAGGTATTTAATTAATTAATTATGCAAAATTAGGAAATGATTCCATAATTGACTCTAATAATTATTAAGAGGCTTTAATAATTATGGTAAGTGATTAAGAATGCTGAAAGTCGCTTTTCGGAAGAAAAGTGCAGATACCGGTTCTGCTAGTCGGTATAAATGCGTACCGAAAAAGTATCCCGGAAAATTATAATAAGTTCATGATAATTACTAGAATAATATGTAGGACTTGTAAAACGAGTTTCAAGTCCAAATAATGAGAACTGGTGCTAGAAACCGGTACTGGCTCTGAAAAGCGCGTACCAGAAAGGTGCTCGGAAAAATATAATAAAAATATGATAATTCTTGGAAAAATGTGTAGTTTCATAATCAAAAGTTTGGGATTAAAATGCTAAGCGTAGAAATTAAAGTTAATACTGCGTGTTTAAGTGTGAGTTGGCTATTTATAGACTTACTAAGGGCACATTGCCCTAGATACCATATTTCCTTCGTGAGAGAGGCTGACCAGCTGCTTGAGCACTGTTCCATTGGTCTCCTTCACCTTCTCTTGAGCCAAGTTGGGACCTTTGGCATTGATCCTTCTCTTTTCTTCTTGTAAACACTTAAGAGCATCATTGTTGAGTGAAAGGAGAGCCTTTTGGTGAGTGTTCAGTTGCTGTGAGAGGTGTGAGGGAGCTGTGTTTTCTGTTCTTGAGGGGTGTGACCTTTTGTTGGCATTTTGATGCTCCAAGGTGCCTTCTTGTTGAGTGAAAGACCTACCTTCTTGTTCATTTTCGTGCATCATCCTTGAGTCAGACTTGAGGGGCTGTGTTGAGCTCCAAGAGCATCTCCATCCTCTGTTTTTGAGCTGTGGTATGATCACCAACCTTTAACTTGAGTTTTAAGGCTTAAAAATGGAAGCTTGATGCATGTTAAGGTTAAAAGATGATAACTTGTTGTTGGGTAAGGCTTAACACACCTAGAAATGCATGATTAGGTGTTTAAAATCAGTAAAAAGGGAACCTTTAAGGGATATCTTCACGAAAATGCAGAAACTGCATTCTGTCGTGAAATATCCGGATATCTGCCCGTGGAATATCCGGATACTGGATATTCGGATATGATATCCGGATATGTGATATCCGGATATGGGGTTTTGGGATATCTGGATATTGGATATCCGGATATGTGAATCTGTATATCCGGATATTGCATATCCGGATATGGACGGTGAGATATCCGGATATTGCATATCCGGATATGGTCCCGAGGAATATCCGGATATTCTGGGATTTCGCAGAACAGTAGCTGTGCTGTGTGTACAGTAGGCTATTGGGGGTTTGTAGACCCTATATTGATGAAGTTGAACTTCTGTAATTAATGGACTAAGCCAGAATCATGTGATTAAGGGCTTGTGGCTTTGTTACAAGCTTTAAGACATAAAACGTAACGAAAAGGCGTTGTCTTTAATTTGTATGCATGTGGTACATGTTTATTGATTTATATTTGGTCCATATCAGATTGTGATCTGCTGTGATTGGACTTTGAGCTTGTGGCATTGGATAACTAGCTTAGAGGTAAGCTTTCGTGTCCTCGGTTTAGCCATGTTGTGGTTCCACCATGTCCCATGGGGATATGGTATAGGCATGCTGTGTTACATGCTTTTGATGTTTTGGAAATGTTGTTGAGCTATTGTATGTTAGTGCCTTGTTGATATGCATGGAGGTGTTCCACCTATACGGTAAGCCTGAGTATGTAGAACATACAAGATGGTGAGATTGTGGGTGAGGTGCAAGCGGTGTTCCTTGTACTACATGTAGGGAATAGACGTATTCCTACATTTTTCTGGCCAGTAGATAGTGATTACACACATGCCATAGATATCTGTTGCACTTCATAGTTTTGGAACTGATAATGATATAAATGCTTTTAGAACTTATATTGCACATGTAAGTGAGCTTGGGGTGGAAGATCCTTGAGGATCCCTTGTCTTACTGAGATTTCTAGTTTAGAGATCTCACCCCACGTTTGGGGAATGCTTATTTCAGGATCAGGTAATGTTGAGACCTCAGGCGGCAGGAGGCCGGAGCTGAGTTAGATTGCTGTTATATTATGCTGCCATGATTGGATGATGGTTATGCATGTTGTTCATATGCTTATAGCTTCAGTTATGTTTATGGAGTTTTATGTTGAGACTGATTGTTTACTATGTTTATTTGTTGAGTATTAGAGGTGTTCGCGGTCTAGATTGGATCGGTTTTGGAAGAAAAACTCATCCGATCCAATCCTTTCGGTTTGATCATTTAATCATCCATTCGGTTAAATTTTTTTTCAAATCCGATCCAATTTTTTTCGGTTTGGATTGGATCGATTTTCTGTTTTTTGAATATCCTAAAATTAGTTTCATGATTATTGTGCAAATAACATCTTTTGTATATATTGGCTTTGTAAAAAAAAGTGAAATACAAAAATATCAGTAAACAATACTATGGTTGATGAGACGTGACTAAGTTTTTTTTTGGGTTTAGTTAATGAGTTAATGGGTGTAGAGTTTAGAAATTTTTGGGCTATGATTGGAGAAAGGACAAGTAAGTAGAGGATAATTAATATATTGGATCGGTTTGGATTGGATCGGTTTTCATCAACCCATCCGAAAACCGATCCAATCCAATTAAAATTTGCGGTTTTCTTTCGGTTTTCGATTTTTCGGTTTTCGGTTTATTCGGTTATCGGTTTTTCGGTTCGGTTTT